AGAGATATGCATTTATTAATACGCTCGAGTTTTTGAATGTGCTCTATTACATCAATTACGTAAAACAATAACAAAAATTGATCGATCATTCATTTATATTGTGACTTGAATTGTCCGATTACTATCAATTTATGCAAGTCAAGTACTATAAATTGATTGACCGCTCATTAAAACGTTGAAACAGTACACAAACATAAAATAAAAAAAAATAGTGAATTAGAATGACATACCGAATCAATACGAATTTACCGATTTCAATGACGATTTATGTAATAGAATTTGTGTCATGAATTGTCTAATTATTCGATTATAATGTGAGGATAATCTTCAAATTGTGACTTGAATTGGTCGATTACTGTCAATTCACGTAGTTCCGACCATTGTAGACGGTAATAGTTGAGATCTCTGTGGCTTTTATCAATTTGAAACATGTTATCTTATTTTTGAAATGACCTATAGTTATGATCTGAGACATTTTTTTCCCCCTAATTTAAACTTGTCATGGTCATAATGAGTAAACGGCAATATGAAACATTAGTAACCTATTAGTTTGACCAACTTTTTAATCATTGTTAAACATTTTTCACAATTAGCCCTGTTTGGAGTGTATCAAAATATGAATTAAAATCTAAGTCAAAATCAATAATCAATTTTAACGACTCGGTTTATGAAATCCACGACTTTTTAAACAGACATTTTATCAGCTTTTATCAAAATTTATTAAAAAATTGATTTTTCACTACACCAAACAAGAGATTAATTTACGGAATACTCCACCCTTATCCACTGCCGAGAACAGACTCAACCGCAAGAAATCAAACTAAACTTGGGTTAATATTATATTTCAAACTTCATTAATTAAGCATAAAAAAGCCATTCACGAGTTACAATTACAATGCAGAAATATTTCTTTCTTTATCTTCTTGTTTTCTCTCCTCTCATCTCTTCTTCCATACAGAAAATATTCATCCGTTCATCTCATCTCAAACGGGTGAAAGTGCATGATAAGATGAATTCAATAACATTGAAATGTTAAATGGGTGAAAACACAGTAGCCAGCCCCTGATCCACTTTAATGAGCAGTTTGTCATAAGTCATCAAGCTCTTCTGGTCACACTTGTATGTTCCTTTACCTCTGGCCAGAACCTCACCATCCACATCGATGATCCCACCCTTGGCCGGATCCTCAGTTCGGAAGCCAGGCTGTAAGGCAAGAGCCTTCACCTGTGATCGATTTCAAAAAGTTAAGAATCACAGATTACGTGCACGTTCAAACATATTGTTAACAAGCTCAAGTTCACTTGCCAGCATCGCTCCACAGTCCTGATATAATTTTTTTCTAATAACAGAGCATGGGGAGCAAGAAGCTAACAATAAATAGAAGTCCCTAGAATTTCTAAGCTTAAAAAGTCTACTTAAAGTAAATGAAGCTTTTTGGATAAATAAATTTTCTAATAAGTTAGAAAAAGTAAGTTCCTTATTTCCAAGGGTAAGACTTATTTTAGAATAAATAACTTTATAACTTTAAAGTTTAAAAAAAAAAATCAAACAATTTTCCCATGAAAAATTAAAAAAAAAAAAAAAAAAAAAATTTAAAAAAGGGGAAAATTGCAGCCACGGTACCAAACCCTTTCGTTTATTAGCAGACTTTGTCCAAACTTTTCGTTTGTGCCACCATGAGTACCAAACCTTTAAAAAACTTGCAGTCCAAGTTCAAAATGACGATTCTGTTAGTTTGACTACCAAAACTGTTAGTTGACTACCAAAATAAAAAGCTTTATTATTTTTCCAAATAAGATGGATATTTTGGACAAACACAATTTTCCTGTTAAATCAAAAATAAATTTTAAAAACAAAATGAAGCAGTCCCCATCTCCTTCTTCCCCAAAATCACCAGTGTCATTGCCGACAGCCACTACTACCCACCAACACCGACATCACCACCATCCATTCTCAGTAGAGACAACAGTCTGAGAAGCAAATTGACTGAAGGATCCTCGAAGGAAGCTAAAATAAAGCAATCTGTTCCCAAGTATTTGAAACTGATAAAGTCTCTGTATATTAAGTTATCAAAAAAAAATGACAAATCGAAGTTCTCTAATTCCATAGCGTCGGAAGGGCGAATCTGTTCAGTGATGAAGGCAGGAATTTTGG